ATAATTTCATTTTGTGAAGTTCAAAGGTATAAAGCACGTGCAGTAAAATATGCAAGCACATATGAGTAAAAAGGTTGCACGGTTTTGTGTGTGTTTGTGTTTACTGTTCTGACAGATTGGTTGACTGGATTAAGAACAGGAAAGAAAAAGAAACACAGCATCTCAAATTTTATTTCAGTTTGTAGGCATGAAAGTCATGACCTTGCAGGAAGCAATGTTGAGTGAAAATGCTTGTTTTAGTAGTAAAATGGAGTTATGGAGGTATGCAGTTAAAATGGAGTTATGGAGGCAATGCAGGTAGTGTGCCTGAAGCTTTTCTGAGAGTAGGAGCAGGGTAAACGTATGTATGGTTTTAGTTCCATAATGTAGATCTCTTTCTCGTACCCCAGTTGTTAATCGGTACACCTCTCTGCTGGGTGGTCTGTAAACATTAAAAATGGAACTCTGCCACCAAGGGCAAGTAAAACGTGTACAAGGAAAGAAGTAAGTTGTATCAGGCAAAGTTAGACTGAAAGGATACCTTAGTGAAGAGAAGAGATCATAACTGCAGAAACGGTGAACTTTCCATCTCCTGGCAAAATTTATATATGAGAATGGGGGTGATGGTGAGATAGTCTAAATAGTGTTCGAGTCTTCTTCCTCTTTTCCCTTGCACCAGCTTTCTGTCCCAGGAGGATGTAACAAATCAATCTCAGCTGTATCTGTAGCAATTAAGCTTTATAAGAGTGATAAGAAGCTATGAGATCTTTGCCCTAATAGAGTGTTTCTCTAATACTTAATTCACATTCATGCTGAAGCTCCCACCTACAGGTACAATGAGAAACTCGCCACTAAAGCTCTTTTGAAAAAGATTTTTTTGAATACTTGATTTCTTTACCAAGCAGTTTCTATGGACTTCAGTTTCATTTGTGGGTGTAAGTGATAAAGTATTTCTGACTTACAAACAGAATAGTTTAAATTATTTTGTGTAAATATATTTTGTTCCATAATGCACCTTTTCTATGGGCACTTGAGGCTGTGTCTGAAATGTTTAATGCAAACTCCTGTTTGCTGCTGTACTGTTAGATTTCCAGTCAGCTCTAAAACAACTGAGATGAATGGGCTTTTTCGTGTCTCTCCCTCTATTCATGAATGGAACTATATTCTGAGGAGAAAGTTTTGGAAACATTTAGTCTTGTTCTACCAGTTTCCTTACAGAGAAATTGCCAAAGTAAATTTTGTTGGTATGCTGTGCAGTTTATGTATCAACTTAATTCTCAGCCTTTTGCTAAAAGCAGCTGATAGATTAATCCAGTCTGGAAATCATGATTGTATGGAGTGTAATTAAATGGTAGCTGTTTCAGTGAAGTGGGTTAATTTTGTCTCTAGAGCTCATAAAACCACTGTTGTGAAGATTGCCTTTTCTCAGCTGTGGCAATTTAGTCCTGCTACTGTTGTTATACTCTCAGTGTAAATGTAGCTTAGAAAAAAATTGTTCCCATTATAGTTCTTTTTCTCTTAATCCGAATTGTTACTGCATCATATTTAGAAAGAACACTCAAAAAACTTTAATGTCATGCAAGGATATGCTTCCCTTGGATATATATATATCCTTAAAAGAGCTTGGAAGTAGATCTCAAGACTGTTTTATGAACATACTTTAATTTTTACTTTTCACATGAATACATACAGTAGAAATATAAAATTGTAGACATTGTTTAGGTACCTCTATAGCATTGATGTACCAGTGGAACATTAACTTGTCTTTTACTATCATAATTTTAGACAATGGAAAGCGAGAGGTAGCGTTTGCTGGCAGTGTTGCAGCTGTTGAACTACTAGGGGAAGTTCTGCGGAACAGAGATGCTGAGCCAACAATTTAATCTGTAAACTGCTATGTCTCTAGTCTTGTCTTTCAAGTAGTCAGCTCATGATAAACTCATTCTTTGGGGATGTTTGTTATCTTTTTCTTATAAATGATGGGTGATTCTGAGGTCACTGAAAATTTAACAAGGCCAAATTGCAGATGAAGTAACAAACCAGAACTGAAAACTGAAAGTTAACTGGAGTTGAATAACAGAGATGCTATATTACTTGACTTTTAGTCTTCTCTTAATTATTAACAAACTGGTAAGGGATTGCAATGCACATTTTATTTAAGTGTGCAAATAAGGGTACGTTGGCACTGTACCATGAAAAGACAGCAAGTTACTAGACAAAAAAAAAAAAAAAAAAAAGCTGGCCTGATGGGAAAAGGATAAGACAGTTTTGGCTTCCTCTAATGGCTGTAGTTAAATATTACTAATCAAGTAAATAGTACAGTAATATTACCTTAATTTGAAAATGGAATGTGACAATACAAGGGAAACCAAATGAAATGTGTAGCAGAGACTGAGAAATTGAATCAGTTTAGGCCAATACAATGTTGTCAGACCTTAGCAGATATGCAAGATTATGTGTTTTAATAGTTCTAACAGCCTTTGGTAAGACTGTCATCCATTATCCAATTGTATTTTTCTAATAATAGTGTCTATTATACAGTCTTAATGAACACACTTCTCTTAAGAATTTAATTTTTTTCTGTTTCAGAGGTGTGAACTTGTAGCAGCATTTGCTTTTGTCATTAAATCTGCATCTGATGTAACCAGGATGTAGCCCATTTACTAACGTAAAAATGGCTATTCCGTGGGAGAACATCCCACTGCTGGGTGTCTGCAGGGCAGGCAGAGAAGCTGTACAGGAGGAAGTAACAGGCAGCATGGTCTCAGCAGAAGGGTAAGGATTAGCTCGGAAGAACCTACAGGGTGCTTCTTTTACACGATGGATCTTTAAAAGGTGACAGTATCTGTATAAGGCAAATGGCTCGTCGGTGCAGTGTGTGTGTGCTAGGGAGCACGGCGCTGTGCGGGGACTGTGTAATGGTAACTGCCATTCTCACAGGGGATGGAGATGGTTCTCTCAACACATACCTCCAGATTCCAGTAATCCTCAATGAACCCTCAATGAGCAATTCAGCAGTAACCGGGTTGGTTTGTGTCATAGCATAGAGAAAAATGACAGCACGGGTGCACACAGAGGTGTCTTAAGAGGTGAGAAAAAGCCCTGCTCAGGACTCGAGGTGAGGGCAGAACTTCAGATGTTGGGGGTGAACTCAGCTGACTAGGTGATGGAGACTAGAGCTTCTTGCAAGGAAGAAGTTGAGGCTTAATGTACCGTAATTTGACCACTGTAGGGAATATGTCATTGCTGACCTTTTAAGTGATCTTGGATGCTTTTCTGTTTGTACTACAGACTGAATAACAATAAAGCTGGAGTATAAATTGTTTTAGGATATCTTGTGAGAGAAGTGAAAGGCCTGTAAATAGCCTGTATTTTAGTTCCATATGTTGTGAAGATGTGCAGATGATGAATGAGTGAAATGTAAAAGCTGAATGTTCATGTCACACCAGGGTTTACAATTTCAACTAGTTCTTGTCATTCTGTATGTCACAGAACGCTGTCTCCTTGTGTAAATTTAATTAATAGGTCCACTTTTTAGTTTGTAAATGGAGATTTTTAAAAAATCCTCTATTCTAATATGTTGATTCATTTGGAATCCTAATTAAGATTTGGACTTAGAATTTATAACATTATCGCTTTGTTTGACAGTACATTGTACTAAGAGGATGATCTGACACACACTTTAAGTGGCTCTTACAACCATCTGACCTTATCTACACCACCAACAGTAGTGTAGAAAAGGTCGAGAATCTTCAATTCTGCCTTTTCCTTGTCTCTAGGGAAACTGTGGCAGTTTTGGCTAGGGATAAGATACTTGAAGCATAATAATTCTGAAACATAGTAGGGCCAAAGAGATCATTCTTGGGCTAATTGAAAAATGCTGGCATAGCAAGACAAGTGCTGGCAAACTCTCTGAGCGTACACAATTTATGAAACCAAAAGGTTAAACGCAACAGATTATTCCAATTCTCTGAAAGAAATCAACTGTCCTGAAACAGCAGTTTTTGCTAGTGGAATAACAGTGTTGGAATAAATGTGTCTACATTGTACCTGACATAAAGATGTTTATGGAAATTAGTAACTTAAGTCTTCCTGAACGTCAATTTAAAAGAAGTATCAAGGTAGTGAGATACACATCCAAACTCCACTAGATGGGAATCAATAGTAGGTCGGTTATATTAAAATCATAGATTAAAGCGCACAAAGCTATAGGGTAAGATTTGAATATTGTGGTGAAGACAAAAACAAAGGTAGCACATAATGCATACTTTAATGTGTCATTAAATTAAATCTTTATTTTTAATCAAAGCTACTTTTGTTCTGACTGACAAAAAGGCATTTTTCTGACTGGAGGGGGGGAAATCTGGTATTTCAGATTTCCAATTCAGATTTTCAATCAGGATGACAGGACCCCAGAAAATATCATGACTCTAATTTAGAACTTGTCTTGACAGGGGGTTTATACTGGAATCCCTCTTGAAATGGTCAATTTGTCATACAGCTTTTATGTGATAATAAAGATGCCCCATGGAGCTAAGAAACAATAGTCTTTGCATTTTAAATCATTCCTTACTTAAATTCTTACAAATGTTGTGATTCAAAGCCTCTAGGTTATTTTGGGCCTGTACCTTATGTTATTTTGCCTCATAATCAACCTCATTTTCATTTTATCAGGACTGCATTTACATTTACATTTTTTATGTAAAAAAATAGTACGTAAGTACAGTGCTCCTAGTGTTCTTAATCCGTGTTACTTAAACCAACTCAATTTAAAACACTGTAATCTTTTGTTCAGCTTCAGGGGTTTATTTAAAAGTCTCTCAAAACACAAAGGATTTCCTCTTAGTTTCCAGTTGTGTTGACTCATTCTTCTTGGTAAGATAGTTATGAATACTTTTCTTACAAGCTTTGATGTATTTCTTTGTTCAGTCAGATGTTTGTCCATAAGTTTGTGATGGTTCCTTTTTTTACATCTTGATTATTTTATTTTTGTGTTTGCCAAGACTGACCACTGTTCATTATTAGGCTGAATTGATTTCTTCTTCTTCCTCAGAGTCAGCATCATCATTGTAGAAGTGAATTGTAGCTTGCACTGGAAAACTTGCCAGAACCTTCTCTCCGATGTTACTAAGAAACTTTTGGGATTTGGACTTGGGCAAATAAAGTCTAATAAGAAAACACATTTTAAGAGAAAAAGTAAAACTATGTGATGCTTTCCCAGCTAAGCTAGCTTGAGTATTAAAACCTATTTTTCTTTCTTTAGAGAGAGAAAAATCCTAGGGTTTCTTTCTTTTAAAATAAAAGTTGCTAACTAAAAGGTCCTGTTGATTTATGTTACCTCAGTTGGTTTGGGCATATTGTGTATTGGATTTATCTAAGGTCCCACGCAGATAAAGTGTTGCCAGGGCAATGATGCGTGCTTGAGACCGTTTGGGTTTTTTTAACACAGTTCAGAATGAAAGTGTCCTGTGTGACTGGGGAAAGTTTAAGGAATGTTCTGGGATTCTAGAATTCAGATTAAGACACCAGATTAAGATTGGGAAGGGTTGCCTGTTGCATGGAGGTTGATTTTAGTGGGGTTTTTGTGTCTCCAGGTGGAGGAAGAGGTGTACACAGAGAGGGATTTATTTCAAAATTCGTATTGTTTTGTATTGAAAACTTAAATTTACTGTCTTAATTTACATTACAGGCTTTCACAAAATTTCTGTGGTCTGTATACATATGTATGTGTTTTTGTGTGCATATGTATTTACATCTTTTCCTCTTGGTTCCACTTTGGCCAGTTTTCAGTTAAATTTGGCAGAGGGATAAAGGCCACACAGAATTGAAGCTTCCACAACTTTTGTAAAAATGGGTGCTTGTAAGGAAGAGAGATATTCCATTAATTTTCCTCCTCTAAACAGAAGTCCACATCAGGAGTTTCTACATCTTTAAGCCTTAAAGAATCCAAACATTGGTGAAAACTGTTATAAATCCCCCAAGCATGGGAAAAGCTTCACCTGAAGTTCAACTTTTATTCAAGAGCAAATTTAAGCAAGCTCAAGACAGATCTGTAACATGTCTCATTCCATTAGCAGCTGCTGACGTTAATTATTTGGGCTTTGTGGGCTTGTTATCACATTTATTAAAGTAAATATAAATTAGATGAGGCAGAAGAACATTGTTTCTTTTAAGATCACTTTTTTCTTATATTTGTTATTAGCTTACTGTTTCAGGTTCTGTCAGTGTGGGCATCTTACCTCATGGAGGGATAAAAATCTATGGAGTCTGGTGAGTAGTTAAACTGCATTACTAAAAAGAGAGACCCCAGAGGCAAACTGCTACTTCACCTGAGAAGGAATATGTCTTGTCTTGGAAGGTATCACTTTTCCTGTATCAAGTGATAGAATTTAACTCACCTCACTGGGTGTTGAAACCCCAAGGCTCCTTTTGGTCTAGAATTTATTAGTTGACCATCCATTTCTGACTGTAAAGAGACATATTTGTTATTTGGAATAGGCTAAAAATGAAGATTTCACTTTTTTCTTCTACAGGTAACTGAGTAACGTTGCTTTGTTTGCTGTGCTGCATGTTGTTTTACTCTCACACTTCAGAAAATGTATGTGCCCCCAGTCTGCCCATAGTTGCACATTTAACAAAGCATTTGAACTTTTATGTTTTATGAGCCATAAATCTATGAAGTATTGTACATTTTGCTCAAGTTCTTATGGAATATCTATAGAGACTAGTGAGCTAATAACACCACAAAATGGAAGTTCAGTGATTGGAAGAAAAAAGGATTTTCAATCAGTTTAAAGGATTGAGAGACTAAGGTTTTATAAAATACCTCTTTAACTATACTAACCAGTAGTTTGGAGTTGGAATGTTCAAATCGGCAAGCTTAGTTGTAATCAAAGACCACACAAGCATGTTAAGAGTCCAGACAATGAAATCAAGAGACAACTGGCATATTTCTATGCAAACAATAAAAAAGCAACCATTTTTGATAGAACAGAATAGGTAGCAAAAATATATTTTAAATATCAAAATTAAATTTAGCACAGAATAAATTCCTTAAAATTCAGGTCACAATAAAACCCAATAATTTGCAAATGTTAACATTACTAAATCCTATTAGGATTATAAACCTGGGATGTAAACCTGAAAGCATCTCCCAAAGTCACTAAGCCCTATCACTTCATCTTGTAGGTGTGGATTCTTTTCCCTATCTTAAAACAAAAGACTTCTTTTTTTCCTTCCTATTGCTATAAACTTGATGTTGCATAAAATAGGAAGATTTAGCTTTGCGGTACTAGAACTTCTCGTAAACAGAAGCTAGACACAATCCACTCTGCTACAAACAGACAAAGATTACTTTTGCCACCGTCAGAGCAATTCATCTGTCTTTCTGAGGAAATAGGCCTCAGCTCAGATATTTTGGTGGGGCCCAAAAAGCCCCTGGGCTATGGACTGAGCAAAGGGTCTTACAGAATTCTGTTTGTAGCTTTTATGTTGGCCTATTTCTCTCATACCCACCTGTTTGTCTTGTAGCCAAAATGATTTGTCTTCAGGCTGTTAGGGTTTTGTTGAGGGTTTTTTGTGTTTAATCGGGAGACTCATTTACTTTGTTTCCCCAGTACCTAGTAAAATGGCCTCCTGATGTTGGCTGAACATTGTAGATGTGATCATAATACCTATGTTAAATATCATATGTTAATTTTTCTCCGTTCATATGTACATTAAAATTAAAATAGTCTTTTTTTCTTTATTGACCTGTATTTCCTACTGCCTTCTCTTTAGAATACATATTATTTTAAAAAGTTATATATGTAATAATACGTACTGATTAAACACACGATATGCTTTTTCTTTTGAGACTATAATACAGCATTTCTGAAAAGCAATTCTGATAAAAGCCCATTAATTGCAAAATCTAACTTAGTTGTTTGTATACAGCAGAAAATGTTCAGCATTAATTTGTATTATGTTGTATATATGGCAATAGTAACTTTAAATTACTTTTCCTGACTTTTCTTTGGGCATAAGTAATGATGTATTTGAATTTAGGTAGTAGGAAAATTGTTACTTTTTATATAAAGAAAAGTATATTATGTATAGGTAACTACAGGGAATATTGTAACACATGTTCTTGGCAATAGAGGCAAAATTAGTAGTTTAAATTTTTTTATCAGTACTTCTATTTTCTAGTGCTTTGCTCTGCATCTTTCAATTTCTCAGGTTAGATTCTTACATGTACATTTCTGAACATTTTTTTTTTAATTACACAGAGGATATTGAAACTTTTATTTGTTTCACTTTCCAGTGTTTGGAGTGTCTACTGATCTGTAAAGCATTGGCATTTGTATGTATGCGTTGCAGAAAATAAAAGTAGTCACTATGCAACTTACTAGCGAAAACATTGTGCTCAACCCATCTTGGAAAGCCTTCTGCTAGAAACCTCAGTTACTTTGCTGAAGAAGATACCTCTTGCCTTCCGCAGCTGTGGGATGTAGGCGTGCATGAGTGAGCACCTCTTGCCACCCATGCACAGCACAAAGTAACAAAGCATCCTTCCTCAGTTGTCGTGACCCTGGTTAGAAAGCATGTGAAAGGGCTCCTAAAGCCCTCCTACAGCCCTCACTAGGTCCCAAGCTACTGAGGCATCCAGGATGCTGAAGCAGTGTGGGTGGGCCATAAGGTATGGATGAAAAGGATCTGAGAAGCTGCTGGCAGGAAGAAGAAATGTTAAAATATTGACACCAACTGTTTCAGTTATACTTGGCTTGAGACAATGCCAGGCTGTTAGCATGTATGTGGGAAAACTTCATACATGGTTTGTTTTTCTCACACAAGTGGGCAGAAGCACAGTGTGAATTAAAAACTTTTGAGCTGGTTGAATAAAATTTTCTACAAAAACATAAGCTGAGTTTCTTGAAATCATCACTGTAAGCATGTACTCTCATGAGAGTAAAAAAGGATCGGAGAAGCTGCTGGCAGGAAGAAGAAATGTTGAAATATTGACACCGTTTCAGTTATACTTGGCTTGAGACAATGCCAGGCTGTTAGCATGTATGTGGGAAAACTTCATATATGGTTTGTTTTTCTCACACAAGTGGGCAGAAGCACAGTGTGAATTAAAAACTTTTGAGCTGGTTGAATAAAATTTTCTACAAAAACATAAGCTGAGTTTCTTGAAATCATCACTGTAAGCATGTACTCTCATGAGAGTAAGACTCCTCTCATCCTTAACAATTTTACAGGTGCCTCTGCAAAGTTTGTAATGCTGCTGGGAAGGACATTGTTCCACAGGCTTTCCCAAGGTGCTTGCCAGGAGGTGTGTGGCACTCCCTCAGATCTGTACACCTACAACCTCCATCTTCAACAGACAAAAAGTACAAGGTAAAAAGGTGTTGCACGCATTAGAAAATCGTAGAAGTTGTGAGTCTTCAAAGACTTGCACCAAGGAGAGTCGTTGTCTTAACCTGCTGAGCCTTTGGTAAAAAACTGAGGGTGTAACTGTGGATTGGATGCTGCAAAAATTTATGCAGGTGCTTAAAACTAAGCATGGGAGTAGCACCATTTCAGTACCTCTTTTAAAGTTTGCAGTATCAGGACCTATATTGAATGTGTTTCAATCTCTCTTTATTTTTGTTCTCCGAGCCTAACAAATCTTCCTGCATGAGTAAGTAAAACTAATAATCATGATGCCTTTCAAAGTCACTTGGCAGTAAAAGCTACTTTAAAAATCCAATTTTCTGTTGATTTCCTAGCTCATTTAGCTATAGCAACATCCCTTCCAAAAACCAATCACAAAAATTGTGCACCTGAAATTTTTTTTTTTTTATTTCATCATAAAGTAATTTTCACCCAAACTCCCCCTATATACAAAGTGTCACATATGGACTAGGCCTGGAAATTTCAAACTGAGGATATTCTTATTTTTGTAATTAAGCAAATAAACTGCTGTTAAAATAAGGGTTGTTTTAGTAAGCAGTGCTTTCTGCAGCTCTGTAAGAACTGATAATGATTCTGTATCTGGTACAAAATTATAGATACTCTTAACCACTGTCATGTACAGAACACTGTAATTTGAACCATATTTTCTACCACTGAAGAAATTCTTGAAAGAAAAAATGACCAAACCTCACTTCCTATGTTCAAATAGCATCAATTTCTGCAGCTGTTTTCTATAAGGATTATTTTCTCCAGAATTTACTCTCACCATTTGTTGATTCTCTGTCATCTCACTGTCTCTTGCTGTGAGCATCCAGGGCCTCCATAAAGCAGAGCTGCTGAAAGATTAAGATAGAATAGTGCTCCCACAGTTAATTCTTTGTGGTAATATCCATAGAGTACAGCTCCTTTTGTTCGATTCTGCTGGCATCTTTTGTAATAACATGATTTGTTTCTTTTCAACACACTTTCATTTGGTAAACCTGATGATGGCAATATTAATCTGTCTTCTGTCTGAAATCTGATTAAACAAACTAGACAACAGCTTGCACATTTTTAACTAAGGTGTCATTTCCCTTTAAGATTTCACAACTCAAAAGTGACTGCACTGAACTCCAAATGATGATGTAATTAATACTGAAATCTTTTTATTTATGCAGCACTGCTACAAAATAAAAAGTAACCCTCCCTCTCTGACAATATGTCTAAATACAGATTCCATGTATTCATCGAGTGGCTGGCTATTTATTGAGTAAGCAACTCCAGCATTAAACTGACATGGGCAATCTGATCTAATTAGCTTAAGAGAGCATATACAGTGGTGGATGCTACATCTGCCTTTTGTTTGGGGTGGGGGGGACTACAATTATGGACGCTCTTTTTAACAGTACTTTCCATCTCCGCTGCTGCGTAACAGATCCATACAGTCGGGGAAATGGAAAAGTGCTTTCAGATATGAAAGGTAAATAAACTTTAAAAAAAAACCCAATCAGTTATTGCAACTTAATTTTAATTTACTTCCATTTATAAGTTCTGAAACACCTGACTCAAAAGGATAAAACAGCAGCAAAAGAAATAAAATACCTGTTCCAGCTGAAACATTTTCAGCGACGTACTTTCCCCTTTACTTCTGAAGCTGGAAATGGTTTTCCGTTGTCTATTTGATGCCGAAATCGTTACACTCACATGATACTTACAGTGGGAGTTTTGAAAGGAAGGCTGCTGAAAGAGGTGCCCCTGCGCCTGCCTTACCTCTCTGGGTGCTCCCTTGGCCGCTGCTGCCGCCGGGCGCCCCGGGAGCGACGACAGATGTGGCCCG